CCCCCCCCCCCCCCCCCCCCCCCCCCAAAAAAAAAAACCATGCTTAAACTACCAATTAACATCGCTCAGAAGTAATCAAATTGGTTCAACTTTTTAAAATTAAGTTCATTCGATTACCTCTCTATGACCACTTAGCCGGGGAAGACAGTTTGTTTCTTGAGCGCTCTGCGGCGACATAGACTGCAAATAGTTGAAATCTTAACAACATCAATGCCAGTTGCAAGAAGAAATATACATTAAGTCAATACAGCTATAACACTCAAATTTTAACCCGACCAATTTTAATTTGATTGAAGTAACAAATCTTGTAAAGTTATCAGTACAGTCAGAATCTGGGCTTAGCTGCTGCTGTACTAGTATTTCTGATATTCTAATAGTACAGAGATCCGCAGGTCTATTATCCGAAAAATCTCTATTTGCAATTTTTGTATAGTGAAGATGACAAAACAACTTTAAAAAATCCATAACCGGCCTCATATCACTAATAAAAATTAATAATGAGAGCAAGCATCTCTACTGCCTGATATACTCACTGATCAAGGAATATTTTAAAACCCAAATGTTCTTCAATTTCGGCGTTCAGCTTGCACCGCAACTGTTTTCATTAAAAGACTTAATTAATTGTAGGAATTAAATTTTAAATATGACAAACTAACTTTCTGAGACTTTATTATTACGCATTGAAACAAACCCTCTAAAAGACAAAGAAATGCTCAAAAAAGTTCGATCTTTCAAATGCATTTTGCTCTGTTTCAACTTTTTGAAATCACTTCCTTCGAAATAAAGTGAACATATACCTGATTGAAAATTTATGCAACTTTACAATTCTTTCGACCTTAAAAAGAAAATTTTTTCTAAAATTTCTGCCTAATATACCCTCCCGCCGTACAGAATGTACATCTCGTTGCCCATAATTAAGCAGCTGCTAGTCCGTTAGTAGAAAATACTGTTTATATTAGAAAGTTTACTGTTAACCGACTGAATTATGCTTATGACAACAGCACTTTTCTGGAATTGAAATTCCAAGACTTGTCTAGCTAAATTTTACCTTCCCGGGGAAAGTGAGGGAGAATAGCTTAAACAGACTCCCCTGTTTTGCAAATTCGTGAGTGACCCTTATTTTTCACATTTTGAAAGATTTTAATATGAATAAAGTGGTATATGAAGTGGAACTAAAAAACTCCAAGTTGATTGATCCAGAACCATTATAAATCAGGGAGTATTAGAAATGCAATGCACAAGACTTTAACCGCTCGAAATTATTCTGCACTAACCGTCTGCAGTTATAAACGAGAAAACAAACAAAGTCATATGATTCACCCGTGCCTCACAAGTTGACTCTTGAACCAGAATCTCAAGAACAGTTTTTGTTCCTGCCACAAGCTGTTGTCTGGCGCTAATAATTTTAACCTTTGTCATGTAAAAAATACCATTACGCATTGTATTATACTTCATAACCGCTCTGTCTGCCATCCCCTTAACGTACCGTATAAACTATTTCAAATAATACGACACGAGCACGAATAAAGAAAACCTAGATTTATCAAGTAATTTTCCTTTCTTAATCATTCCATTTGGAATATTTACTGTAAACTGTATACAGAAAGATGTTATTGAACAAAACAACTTAAACTGATTTTCCATCTAGCTATTTCTAGTTACCTGAACCTCATCGTTGTTAGCATCTATATTGTGGAAGCCTCCCGGTATCTGGCCATTTACAGGACCAAAACTTATCGCAAAGACGATGACAACGAGTGTGTTCAGCAACAAATAGTTCATCGCTAATTGTTGGTTTCACTGCAGTTAGATAAGATATTTCAGAGGATCCTTTCCGTTAACAACGTAGACAATTATATACAATAAAAAAAATAAATGAAGAAAAAACAGAAGAAAAAAAAAGAATAGAGAAAATCAAACAAAAATTTTTAATTACCAGTGTCATTGAATTGCCTGTTACTAAAAATACTGATTAATGAATTACTTATAAATATTTAAGACAAATTGGATTTTTCGAAAAAAATTGAAGTGCCCGACAAATGATACTTTATAAATAGTTAGCTATCCGCTGCTACAGCAGTTAAAACTGAAAATAAACAAACCAAAAATAAAATCATCCAACGTTATTCGTTGCAAAGTTATCTCCTCCGACTAAAACAAAAAAAAAAAAAAAAAAAAAGACTATGCAGCTGCAGAAAATTTTGTTAAAATTATTTGTCACCCTTTAAAATAAAAAAAGATAATTGATCAGTCAACCACCATATAATTAACTAAGATATTTGACCGATTACAAAACCAGAAAAACTGCACTAGCTCCTTAGTTCTTTGTTAACCTAAAGTAACAACAACTAAGCACACATTTATAATAGTTAAACCCAAATCCGTCTCAAACCTTTACCTTTTTTAGAAAAAAAGAAAAGCCAACAATCATAGTATAATATTCATAACAAGTGGAAATCTTCACTTGCACAAACTGTTTCAGATAGAAATGAAAATTTTACAGTAAAATGAACTTTTTGAATGTAGAATACTACTGCAAACATTACAAAAAACATATATCAGCAAAAAATTTTTTGTGGTTTTTTTATTTGAGCTCTACCGGAGAAAATCAAAAAAACTTGAAATATATACGTAGTGTTTCTTCACCTGTAAAATTAGAGCAAAACAAGCAAAACGCCACCAATAAATTCCATTAATAACATCTCGACTTAATACTTTAAATGTGTTGCCACTACGGTTTGCCCATTTATGTAACAAAAAAAATGGCTGCCTATTAGAAAAGAAAAAAGAAAAATTTCGAAAAGGAAATCCGTATGAAAAAACCTAAAACACTTTTAAATTCCTCTGTTGTTTACAAAACAGGATAAAAGACCGCTTTTTGTCCCGATATTTTACCATCTAAAAGTCTGTAACTACTCTTAACAGCTGCTGAAATGAAAAACCTATTGTCAATATAAAAGCCAAACAATTTCACATGATTTCACATGAGCTAGATATCAACCATCAAAGACTGTAATTTTCAGTGTCTATAATGCAGAACGTTAGACAATTTATCAAA